CGAGTGCGACACCTCGCCTTTGAAGGGGTTGCACCTTCTGCAGACGAAGCAGTGGGTCTATTTATATCCCCCCAACCCACTGGGGGTCATTCTTATGTGTGGCTTTTATGGAAAAACGTTGATTAAAGGCACGAAAAATGTAAATTTGCAGTTTTAAAAAACTCTTCAGCTATGAAAGTTACCAACCTTTGGTGGCCATTTTCTCGCTAATTTTCCTTCTGAAACAAGGCGACCCCCACCTCCTTCAATCGCAAATACCTTGACATTTATTCAAGATAAATGGATATTTTTTTCCTCAAATGCAAGGTAAATGAACCACCTATAAGATGATACAAATAACTCCATATATATACCCAAAAAATTGACGAACGCCTGATTCCACCGTGTCGTGACACGCATGTGCGTGTCAGCGGATTTAGGAACCTAAAAATATCATTTCATCAGTACTTCAACAAGTGGCAAAATTCCAGTGAAAAAGCAAGTGATACTAGGAGTAAATAACACAAGCATACCCATAGACTGGCCTTCCACATTAGACTTCTGAGCTCCTTTCTCTCGTAGCAGTTGCAGCAGGTGGCTGTTTACCGGCCCCTCCTTCTTCTCCTCCTGCTGCTGGGAAACTGTCTGCCCAGCCCCAACTGGGGCACTCTGTGCTCGCCGCTGATCACTTCCATCCGGATTGCTAGGTAAACTAGCCACCAACTCTTCTACGGGAAGGTGACGTACGACGGTCGTCTTACCAAATTGGGTAGTGATCACTTGAGTCTTAGGAGGACCTAGAATAACACCAGTGGGGACCACAAGAGATTCTTTCCGCTGGGAAGCCAAGGTATCAGGCCCAGCTGCAGACACAGTTGTGGGCATTTTCTCCACAGACACAATCATACAGTCACTGTTTGAATTATTCACATTCGCATTTCTCTCCTCTTTGTTTTCCTCACACCCTGAGACAACTGCTTGTGACTGCTTGATTGGTTGAGTCACAGGGGGGGCAACTTTTGATGCTGGCACTGGAAGGAATGGCAAACTTACAACTATTTTTGCTGTTTGGAGGCAACTTGGGCACAGTGAGCAAAGAGATGACTTCCCTGTGGTATGTGAAGGCGGGACTTGATAGTAAACAGGGCACTGATTCGACTGGTAACGCTTGAAGGGAATGCGGTGAACCATCACGTGCTTGCCACATGCCTGAAAGGAAGACAGTACATGTAGAAAAAAAACACAAGCTACTTCTCCAGTCCGCACATTTTTGCTTGTTTGAATAAAGAGAAGCACACTGATACAATTACAGTAATTCAGTGCCTGGGAAAAAAATAAGACTGACAGAAATTTTTTTAAAGGGAGAGAAAAGGAGCAGGACGTACCAGTGGTGTCCTTCAACAAAACACACCAAATATTTGCATGCAACTGTAAATAAAGCATGCTGCCAAACTATACTGCCATCAAAAATTCGTGGCTCAACTTTTCCTCAAATATCTTTTCAACAGGTGAATCAAAGTAACCCATACTTTGAAATGCAGGTTGTATCAATGTGTCCTAACTCTTTCATATTTTTCCACAACACTTGAAGCTAGATTAAAAACTTTTCTTCATAGCTTTATATAAAATACTATAAATCTCTGCCACGTGGAAAAAGGAACTGTTCACAGCACTTCCCGCTTCTCACACACATTTTGCATATATGGCCTATGTCACAGCTCACCAATGACACTTTTTCTTGGTAGAACTAGTAACAAAAAATTGATTTTATAATGAACCATTTTTAGCACTAAAGGTTCTCAAAACATGCATTTCGCAATTAGAAAAAAAAATGACAGACTTTCTTTGAAAAGCCATATTGTTCAAGCTGTAATAAACTTTCTAAAATCTGCAGAAACCACCCACTGTGATTTTTATTACATGTAATATGATTTATAAAGGAATTTTGTAGAATACAGCTAACAGGTGTTTACAAAATTATTGATCAGTTAAGACTAAAAATGATACAAGTCACAGTGCAAAAGATGGAGAGTTTATGTTATAGTCCTAGAGATATCTGGCAATAAGTTGCGCCATACATTTTCTACCGCCCTGTAGTGATGTTGACCTGCCTACTTCAACTCTTTTCCCTCTGCCCACCACACACTGGGCCACCTGACTACATCTGCACAGGTGATAAAATAATTGTCTGTGGAAAGAGATAATGAGCAGTGGTGACCCAAGGCATCCAAAACAAATGCCTCTAAAAGTTCAAAAGAAATGAAAGCAACTTTGTAGAAAAATTGAAAAAATTCTGTGAATTTGTTATCACTTGTTCCAATTTGCAAAAATTTCGACTTGCTACAGCATTTGAAGACGTCCAAATCTGAAATAAGTACAGTCAAACCTCGTTATACAGCCTACCTTGGGACGAGCATGAAGCTGGTGGTACAGCCGGGCTGGCGGTGCAATGAGGTTTTCATGTCCTCTGTTAAATTAATGTAGCACTAACTGCGCAACCACCTGTCCCTTAGACTTGAGCATATGTACTTATTAAATAAAAGCCCCACAGGCATACGCCAGCGAACAAGTTATTTTGGGCTGATATCTGACGATTAGAGGTGGGCAAAATCCTGATGAATCTCCGGATAATCCTCAATAAGACATTATCCAAATTCAGACTCTTAACTCTCTTTCCTGACCCGTCTGCCGAAGAGGGTGCACCCATTTGTTGAAGTTATGCTAACCCATTTGTCAAAGTGGTCCTATTCCATTTGCTGAATCGGTTCAAAACACAATATTGTTTACAGAAGAGGTACATTAACATATTATCCGAATTTTGCTAAAGCGACTCATTGCCCAGCCCTACTGACGATGCCAGGCATTTTGCTAAGAAGTAAAACAGAAAAATGCAATGGATTTTTCAGGCGACTTAACTCTTTGACTACCAAGGCATGTGAACAAAGATATATTGCATTTGATTTGGAGTCTACATAACTTGATAAGTGGGCACCACATCAGAGTAGTCCTACAATGGATTCCTGCCCACACTGGGATACCGGGAAATGAAAGAGCTGATGCTCTGGCAAAGAAAGGAGCTAGTCTCCCTCAGCCTGAAATTCCTACAAATTACACCACCTGCTGCCAAATGATCAAGTCAAACCTCAAGGAAGAGTGGATGAATGATTGGGCCACAGGTACGACAGGAAGGAGGATGTATGGCCACATGAATAAACCACTGGTCAAAGATCCAATCAATGAGTTGAGGAGGGGAGATCAATCCATAATCTTCCAACTTAGAACACAAAATGTACCCCTCAACCAACATCTCAACCGAATTGGAGTAAAGCAGTCTGCTGCCTGCCCACTATGTGACTACCCCTCAGAGACAGTGGAACATCATCTGTTTTTCTGTAGAAAACTAACTGATTTAAGGGGATGTTTTCTTCCCAAGCTACCCCACACATCTAATTGCCTCTACTCCTCAAGACAACAATAAGAACAAACATGCAACTATTACCGAATGGCATCATGCAGAAGAGTTAACGCTCAGATGCTACTGGATCACTAACAACATAACAACAATAACAACAACTACCAAGGCATTTTCCGCGCTGTGGCCAAGGCATTTCTTAGTCTTAGAATTTCAGAAGTACCCCTGTTCTTCTTTTGTGTCTGATGGGCATAATTCCATCTGGAAGTCAGACATGTTACATACCAAAATGAAGGTAATTGAATGTAGAATATTTTTAATCAAATTAAAAAATTGAAAAAAATCATGGGAGGTAAGTGAACACAAGGCGAAAAAAAAAAAAAAATTTAAAAAATATTTTCAACTTACATTTCTCACAGTGTATAGCTGCTAAATCCAATCACTTCATGACTTGGTCATACTGAAGTATATTCAATTGTCTCTAACTGGGCCAAGTTTCATGCACAATGGTCAAGTATATACAAAGTTGTCGCACTTTTGGTGAAATCACTCACAATGAAAAAAAGAGAAAAAAACGCTACACACACGCCCCTCTTTTCGAATCTTCATTTTCATCGCTGTCGCTGCTGTCCGACTCAGGTCTAACTTCATCACCTCCTACATCACTATCGGAAAGTACTCACAGTTTCCCATCAAACTTTTCAGGGCTTTTGAAGCAGAAAAACGTTGTGACGGGGGGTACCTGATGGGTTATCAGCCATTTTCCCGTTGCTATGCGTGTAAACTAATTCGAGCAACATAGGGTGGGTCAAAAAAACATGAAAAATTGCCAAAAAAACAGCAGAATAAAACACAAAAGGGGCCAAATTCCTTCACTGGTTGACTGATGTATGGTAAGCAGAGCAGTTAAAAACATGAAACGAAAAGGTTGAGTCAAATTGTGAAAGGGAAAGAAAAGCGCGAGCCGATAATTCGGCTCTTGGCCACGAACTATGAAGTTATGGAGCCGATAGATCGGCCCATGGTAGTCAAAGAGTTAAAAATTTAATTCCAATATTCTTTTTTAAATGCTGACCAAGGCCTTAACATAACTGCATTTTTCTAATCATCGCATCACGTGGGGAGAGAAAATTTGGCGCTAAATTACAAAGTTACGTCGTTTTAGTTAAATTGCACTCTTCTACATTACACATTATATTGTGATCGCTTGCAACACACATCACTGTAGATCTACCCATATTGCCGGAATCTACAAGACAAGGGTGGGGAGAAGGGATGGGCAGGGAGGGAGCATTTGATCTAGACCAAGGCCTAGCTCGAAGAAACTTGTGTGAAATATTGTTTGGTAAGTTGGTAACAGGCTTGCCAACTTTTGAGATACTGACTTCTGGAATTTTGAATGCACCGAAGTGCCACGGACACACACTTCTGTGAAAGGCTACTAAAAAAAATGCCCACACCACAAAAACAGCTCAAACAAATCAGTGGAGAAACAGAGAGAGAGAGAGAGAGATGCCGTTTCGGGAAAGGTTCGGGAACGCTGATGGCAATTCGGGAATTTCCTGAAAAATTCAGGAAGGTTGGCAAGCCTGCGGTAAGTGTTTTACAGCGCTTGCAACTGCGTAAGGATTTTGCCCGGGTGGCGGACCACCAAGGGATTTGTAACGTGCGTGACTTGCACACAAAACCTCGAAGATTTTTCGCCCTTATCCAAGAAGGCTAGGTGTTAGACCTTACCTACCATAAGATCAGGGGTGTGGCTGAAAGACAACAGTAAGAAGGAGCGGAGCCATGAAGTAGCAGTAGAAAGGCTGCAGAAAGAGTCAGGAGCCCAGAAGAGGGGATAAAGGAGGTGTGGGAGTGGGGCCAGAAAGTGAAGGTTTTTACTTTACTTTTACAATCAACAAAATTACCTTTCCTGCCAAAAACTTTTCGGGAATGCCAGGGCAGAACAAATAGCCTCTGCCAGCAATCAGTCGTAGCACAGCCATCAGGGAGGCAATCTCAATGCACCCGGAAGCTTTGGCCACAAAGTTCACCCTCTGAACCGTCTTGAACAAAATATTTACCAGACACCGGCCCGAAGGGTCGAGTGTCAAAGTCATTGGGTCCAAAGGGGGGCCAAAGATGCCACATGCCCCCTCTCTATACACCATCAACACTTCCAGGTTCGAGTGAGTCCTTGTAACCTGTCATTTGAGGAGAAAAAAAAAACAATAACATTATTTCATTAACGGCTTTGTAACTTTCCTGGGTAACTATATCAAACACAGATCATGCTAAAACCTTCAAATAAATCAAATAAAAAATAGAGGTATTCAAAACAAATCAACTTCCCACTGTAAGACTCTTATTAGTTTTATCATATACCACTTTTCAAAATGACATTTGATGGAATCCTATGCCTGTTAGATGCAAAACAATCAAAATAGTAGAAGAATACAAAACAAGAAATGCAAGACAAGACGAAATTTTATTCATTTCCACACATGCCCTCATCATCATCTTCTAATAATAATAATAATAATAATAATAGATCATAGCATTTGTATAGCGCAAATCCCCGCTCAACAGCAAGCTCTATGCGCTTCACAGTGTATACTATTACCCCAGCAGACCTGAGAGCATTCAGAAACAAACTCAACTTCCTGGAAAGCATACATTACGAGTCCAGGAGCCTAACCATTAGACCTACCCCCCCCTCTCTTGCTTACACACATACACACACACTAAAGATATGATAAAATAAGATAAGATAAGAAGAAGAGCAAGAGCACACAATTCTTTTTTGACAGCTCAGATCAATATATATGCTGAGAGCAACAATCAAACCCTTTCAAAGGACCAAAGCCTATAAAATAAAAGACAGACAGACAGAGATACTCGATAAAAAGAAAATCCTCTCCACACAGGAATCACAGAGATACTCGATAAAAAGAAAATCCTCTCCACACAGGAATCAAACCCCCATCTTCTGTCGGTGATGGGTAAGCAACTAACCACCACACCAAAGACACAGGTAAATTGGATCGATGGGGGCACAAAGCATTTACAAATATATATATAAAGTATAATTAAATTAGAATACAAATCTTCAAGCTCCCCAAATCATGTAGAAGATTACGCTCAAAGACAAACCTACACACAAACCACGAATCGCTCACCCTGTATGAAAGGTTTTGGAACTCTGACACTGTCTTGATGACGTACAGACACTGCCAGAGGATGGGGCTACTGACATACTCAGTCTGTGTCGCCACAGATGACAGCAAACGCTCCTCCACGTCTGCCATCATCACTTCTCCATGCATGCCGTCCTCACCCGCTACATCATCATCATCTCACGTTTCTAAAACTGGTGATTCACACCCTGGTCACGAACAAACACTGGTCACACATCACTCTGAAACAAAACAAAAAGGACTAAAACTAGAATTTATTATTTCTTTGAAAACCATCTATAACAAAAAAATCCTACAGACACACAAAGTCATGACACATGACTGCGGTGCTAGAAAAATAAGTCAGTGAAGACAGAAACAGCTCATGACAAAAAAGACTGTGAAGGGACCTCCAAACTCAAAGTCACTCTGAGGAAACAAGATTTTTAAAATTTAATAATAATATGTGAGTAAAGGGGAATTATATGTTTCTGTTTCAGCTTCAACCAATGCCCTACCAGACACAAAGTAAGCCATTTTAACATCACAGTTAGAGGGTAGCCCTGACACGGCAACGACCTGAGAAGGTCAAGTTTAGTACTCAGGAAAGACCCCTCTTGAACTTCCAAACGCAGTGGGCCTTGAATTCAGACATCAATTCAGTGCCATTCACTGCCCATTGGCAAGGCTGCTGGTAACTGCTTTTTGTCTCTTCTGTTTACTTTATCATGTATACAGATCTCAAACAATTTGCGATATATGTGAAGTGCATTTATGTATAAAATGTAAAGTTAATACATCGTCAGTGCTTTACTCTCCATATTACTAGGTAGTGTTAAATGCTACAAAGTGGCGCTTTGACAACTAACGCGGCGTTAATTATATTCTTGGTTGGCCTTGACAAGCAAAGTGAGGTGAAATTTGACAAAGGAGAAGTGTTGAAGACCCTGGAGGAAAAGTTGCGGGATGAAGAAGACAGGGAGACAGCAGAACACCACGCAATCATTAGGATGCGGGAATGGGGATAGAGAGGGGAAAAGGAAGAAAGGAACGATTATCTGGAAAGGAAAGACGTCACCATAATCAGACAACCACCAGAACAATCAATATGGATACCTTTCGGGCTTTGATGCTGGGGGGAACTGAGCACTTATGGACCTGTCTGGTGTGCAATGACGTTGTTGCCCAGGACAGGTAATACAGGTAACAACTGCGACAGAGTGAACACAGAACTCTTTTACGTTGATGTTTGATGCTAAATTTAAAGAAGAAAATGTTGGTGCCTATAGAGGAAGAAATCATCTGACACAGTTGAGAAGGATTAAAGTGTGTGGCAAAAATCCACAACGGCTTTCTGTACATTAGAGTTGACTTTATTACTTTATTTATTTCAGTACATAGACAGCCCAAATATTGAGGCAACAAATATTACAAAAAAAACAGCAGCATACAACAGCAACAAACCACTAGGGGCAACAACAAGAAAAGAGAGCTGCGACTGTCTTTGTGTTAGTTTGGTGTGTGTGTGTGTGTGTGTATGTGTATGTGTATGTGTGTGTGTGTGTGTGTGTGTGTGTGTGTGTGTGTGTGTGTGTGTGTGTGCGCACGCGCGAGCGTGCGTTATAAGTAAGGCCAAGCGTGTGCGGTGTTCGTTTGTGAGTGTGTGTGTGTGTCTGTGTGTATGGGAATCCGTGTGAGCGAGTGTGTGTGCGTGGTGTATGTGTATTTCTTTACATCATGTGTGTGTGTGTGTTTGAGAGAGAGGGTGAGTGAGTGCGTGTGTGGATGTGTGTGTGCATGGGCATGTGTGTGTTTGTTCTTCTTTTTTCTTTTTAATTTCTTTTTTGTCACAGACTCACTGTCGTAATTAACGCCGCATTAATTGTCACAGCGTCACTCTGTCGCAATTAACACTACCATTGCTAAAATAAGTGGAAGTGAGTAAGTTGGTGAGTGACTGAGTGAGAGAGAGAGACAGAGAGTGTGTGTGTGTGTGTGTGTGTGTGTGTGTGTGTGTGTGTGTGTGTGTGCGCACGCGCGAGCGTGCGTTATAAGTAAGGCCAAGCGTGTGCGGTGTTCGTTTGTGAGTGTGTGTGTGTGTCTGTGTGTATGGGAATCCGTGTGAGCGAGTGTGTGTGCGTGGTGTATGTGTATTTCTTTACATCATGTGTGTGTGTGTGTTTGAGAGAGAGGGTGAGTGAGTGCGTGTGTGGATGTGTGTGTGCATGGGCATGTGTGTGTTTGTTCTTCTTTTTTCTTTTTAATTTCTTTTTTGTCACAGACTCACTGTCGTAATTAACGCCGCATTAATTGTCACAGCGTCACTCTGTCGCAATTAACACTACCATTGCTAAAATAAGTGGAAGTGAGTAAGTTGGTGAGTGACTGAGTGAGAGAGAGAGACAGAGAGTGTGTGTGTGTGTGTGTGTGTGTGTGTGTGTGTGTGTGTGTGTGTG